GCGGTAGGTCCATCTCCATTTTGTTTCGTTTGCTTCAGTTTAAGAAACATTTTGCAACAGAATCGGCGGAATGAATGCACCCCTGATCACCCACACACACAGTTAACTTTCATAGCAGCCACATACAAACAGCGTCATCACTTTGCTCATTGTATAATTCCTTCTCGCATCTACGTGCTCTCCTCCTCTCACCTTTTCCCTTCGCTTGTGGAATTCAATGAATAACACAACAGCTGTCTGTGACCACTTGAAAAAACCTTTCCAAGACAAACCTTCATACCATAACCACTAACCACTACACACAGCCTACATCGTTGTCACCATATTAGCTAACGTCATAGTCAACATATCTCAAATCAAATCAAATTATATTTGTCACATGCGCCGAATACAACAAGTGTAGACTTTACCGTGAAATGCTTACTTACGAGCCTATTCCCAACAATGCAGTTAAAATGTAAGAACATTAACAAATAGATCAAAATAAATTAGTAACACAATAAAATAACAATAAAATAACAATAACGAGGCTATATACAAAGAGTACTGGCACCGAGTCAGTGTACTGGGGTACGAGGTAGTTGGGGTTATTGATTGAGGTAATATGTACATGTAGGCAGGGAGTGAAAAACAAAACGTCCGGGTAGCTATTTAATTAACTGTTCAGCAGTCGTATGGCTTTGGGGTAGAAGCTGTTCAGGAGCCTTTTGGTCCCAGACTTGGCACTCCGGTACCGCTTGCCAAGCGGTAGTAGAGAGAACAGACTGTGACTTGGGTGGCTGGAGTCTTTGACAATTTATAGGGCCTTCCTCTGACACCGCCTGGCATAGAGGTCCTGGATGACAGGGAGCTCGGCCCCAGTGATGTACTGGGCCGTACGCAATACCCTCTGTAGTGCCTTGCGGTCAGATGCCGAGCAGTTGCCGTACCAAGCGGTGATGCAGCCAGTCAAGATGCTCTCAATAGTGCAGCTGTATAACTTTTTGAGGATCTGAGGGCCCATGCCAAATCTTTTCAGCCTCCTGAGGGGGAAGAGGCGTTGTCGTGCCCTCTTCATGACTGTGTTCGTGTGTTTGGACCATGATGGGTCCTTAGTGATATGGACACTGAGGAACTTGAGGCTCTCGACCGTATCCACTACAGCCCCGTCAATGTGAATGGGGGCGTGCTCGGCCCTCTGTTTCCTGTAGTCCGCAATCAGCTCCTTTGTCTTGCTGACGTTGAGAGAGAGGTTGTTGACCTGGCATCACACTTTCCAGGTGGGAAAGGTCAGTGGAGTGCAATAGAGTTATCTGTGGAGGCGATATGCAAATTGGAGTGGGTCCAGGGTTTCTGGGATGATGGTGTTGATGTGAGCCATGACCAACCTTTCAATGCATTTCATAGCTACAGATGTGAGTGCTACAGGGCGATAGCCATTTAGAAAGGTTACCTTGGCGTTTCTGGGCACGGGGACTATGGTGGTCTGCATGAAACATGTAGGTATTACATTTTATTTGTATTTATTTAACCCTTAATTTACCAGGTAAGTTGACTGAGAACACATTTTCATTTACAGCAATGACCTGGGGAATAGTTACAGGGATGAATGAGCCAATTAGAAGCTGGGGATAATTCGGTGGCCATGATGGTATGAGGGCCAGATTGGGAATTGGGGTTAACACTGGGGTTAACACTCCTACTCTTACGATAAGTGCCATGGGATCTTTAGTGACCACAGAGAGTCAAGACACCCGTTTAACGTCCCAGCTGAAAGACGGCACCCTACACAGGGCAATGTCCCCAATCACTGCCCTAGGGCATTGGGATATTTTTTAGGCCAGAGGAAAGGGTGCATCCTACTGGCCCTCCAATACCACTTCCAGCAGCATCTGGTCTCCCATCCAGCGACCAACCAGAACCAATCCTGCTTAGCTTCAGAGGCAAGCCAGCAGTGGGATGCAGGGTGGTATGCTGCTGGCAAAACTGGGTCAGGGAGAGGTTGAAAATATCAGTGAAGACACTTGCTAGCTGGTCAGCGCATGCTCTGAGTACGCATCCTGGTAATCCGTCTGTGAATGTTAAGATGTTTAAAGGTCTTACTCACATCGGCTACGGAACAACTGGTGCTCTCATGCATGGTTCAGTGTTGCTTGCCTCGAAGCGAGCATAGAGGCATTTAGCTTGTCTGGTAAGCTTGTGTCACTGGGCAGCTTGTGGCTGGTTTTCCCTTTGTAAATCATCATAGTTTGCAAGCCCTGCCACATCCGACGAGCATCAGAGCTGGTGTAGTAGGATTTGATCTGAGTCCTGTATTGACACTTTGCCTGTTTGATTGTTCGTCCGCAGGTGTAGCGGGATTTGTTATAAGCGTCCGAATTTGTGTCCCGCTCCTTGAAAGCGGCAGCTCTAGCATTTAGCTCAGTTGGATGTTGCCTGTAATCCATGGCTTCTGGTTAGGATATGTATGTACGGTCACTGTGGGGACTACGTCGTCGATGCACTTATTAATGAAGCCGGTGACTGATGTGGTAAACTCCTCAATGCCATAGGTTGAATCCTGCAACATATTCAAATCTGTGCTAGCAAAACAGTCCTGTAGCTTAGCGTCCGCTTCATCAGACCACTTCCGTATTGAGTATTGACCACTCCAAATTGAGTATTGACCTCTTCAGTATTGAGTTTACTGTTTGAGTTTTTGCTTGTAAGCAGGAATTAAGAGAATGGAGTTATGGTCAGATTTGCCAAATGGAGGGTGAGGGAGAGCTTTGTATGTGTCTCTATGTGTAGAGTAGAGTTTTTTCACCTCTAGTTGCACGGCAGACATGCTGGTAGAAATGAGGTAAAACGGATTCAGTTTCCCTGCATTAAAATCCCTGGCCACTAGGAGTGCCGCATCTGGGTGAGCATTTTCTTGTTTGCTTATGGCCTGGTGGTAAATAGACAGCTACAAAAAATATAGATGAAAACTCTCTTGGTAAATAGTGTGGTCTACATCTTATCATGAGGTATTCTAACTCAGGAGAGCAGAACCTCGAGACTTCCTTCATATTAGAGATTGCGAACCAACTGTTGTTGACAAATACACACACCTCCTTCCCTCAGCTTACTGGACACAGCTGTTCTGTTCTGCCGATGTATAGAAAAACCAGCTAGATTTATATTTTCCATGTCCTTGTTCAGCCACGACTCGGTGAAACATAGGATATTATAGTTCTTCAGACCACGTTGATAGGATAGTCTCGAACGGAGCTCATCCAGTTTATTTTCCAGCTTACCTTGACTTGGAAGAGTTCCAGTGTTGGATAGTCATAGCCAGCTAGCTAACATAAATAGCATTCCTCTCTGTTTGAGCCGGGTGTTTGAGTAGGCTAATTTAGCCTACTGCATTAGCTAGCTAAGTAAGTGAAAGTGAAAAAAAAAGTGTTTTTCTCTCTTTGAGTCAACTACTTACCACATTTTATGCACTGCAGTGCTTGCTAGCTGTAGTTTATGCTTTCAGTCCTAGATTAATTCTCTGACCCTTTGATTGGGTGGATAACATGTCAGTTCATGCTGCAAGAGCTCCAGAAGTTGTCGGAATTACTGTTTAAGTCTATGGAAGGGCGTGAGAACCATGAGCCTCCTAGTTTTTTTATTGAAGCCAATGTACCTAGAGGAGAATGGAAAATAGCTGTTCTCCGGCTACACCATGGTTCTACCCCAGAGACTGCTGTTGAGGCTACTATAGACCTTCATTTCAAAATAGTGTGCTTTAATCAGTTATATTAATATATTTAGTGTACCGGTAGTTTTGTATAAAAATTATTTAAAAATTTTAATGTTTCACTATTTTTGTTTTTCTGAAATTCACTGAGTAGAATGGTCCTCTCCCTTCCTCCTCTGAGAAGCCTCCAGTGATGCACACGTTCATCCACTGTCAAATAATTCCAGCATCCAACAGCACACCAGCCAGTTGATGGATGGAAAAATACATCTGCTAGAAAAACACCAGAAATTGTAATGATATTTGGCAATTGAGACATTTGTAACCTGGACAGGGACGGCAGAAATATATTTTGACAGGGGGTGCAACATTTTTTTATAGTTTTCAAGCCTCATTTAGATATTTTTCTGCTTATAATTTCTGACATTTGGTAGGTTATTTGTTAGTCAACTTGTCTATTATTAGATAGGCGACATACAGCTTCTCTTCTGTCATTACTTGATGCTCTAGAATACAAAAATATTGCTTTGCTTACCAGAATAATGTCATAAATCGATAGAATGAATGTTTTTCTATTATTTCTCTATTTTCTCTCACTCTGCATTGTTAGGAAGGGCCCGTAAGCATTTCACTGTTAGTCTATACCTGTTGTTTACGAAGCATGTGATGAATAACATTAGATTTGATTTGATTTAGTGACCGGGGATATTTTCTGTGCAAAATTTCCAAATTACAACAGTTTGACAGGTTTTAAGGAAATTAAAATCAGTGAAAACGATCCAACATGTTTCTGATAGTATTTCAGTTAATTTAGGATGCATATTTTATGTGGTTGAAAGTAAAATACTGTCAGCTTTATGTTGCTGGGAAAAGAAATGCACGTTTAGGCTACACAACACGGTCCTTAAACACGTATTTGCAGTATCTCAAGATGCTGAAAGAAAGATGTCCTATTTCTCCAATCCTGTTCCGAGACAAAATTAACATTTGGTCTATTATGTTACTGTGAGGAACACTTAATTCTGCAGGAGTTAATATTATAATAGGCTACATGAGGCCTAGTCAGTGTCCAGACTTCAGTTACTTTTCCTACTTTTACTGTTCCATCTGAACTTCAAAGGTTCAAACCAGGGGGTGCTATTATTGTGATAGGCAAAAATCTTACCGATATGGTGTACCACCACTATATATTTTACTCCGGATCGGCTTACTTTCACTCCTGACTGTGTCAATAAATATCAATTCCCTCCGTGTGGTGCAAATCAAATGCACTTCTGATACCGGCCTAAGTATTACAGTTCACTGGCATACAGATTATTATGATAAGAAACAACCTCATATTCTCTATGGCAGGACGGTGAGGAAGGAGTACATCAACGCTAAATACGTGGAGCACAAATTTGCCCACCGGACTGGCAAAGCCACGGTTCCAGGCAAGCTGTCAGAGGCGGTGCACTCCCGAGATCTGCTGTTACTTATCCAGATATATGCAGAGGGGAGGGAGCTTATGGAGCCCCTGCCCGAGGCAGGAAAGGTAACGGTAGCTGTGTTTATTTTATTCTTAAATGGCATATGAACTGAAGTTCACAACGAGTCAGAAGACAATTCTGAAGGCTTCAAGTGGTTCCCAATTCCGAAACAATTTGGAACCACTGGACGAAGAGGTGGTTATCAAAAATATGGACATGAAAATATTCATAAATAAATCAAATGAATAAATTATTACAGTGGTGGTATTTGATCTATTTTTATTTATGTATATTTTAATTAGTTAAAACCCACTGAGATCAAAATGCTAATGCTAGTATGCCAGTGATACCATTATACAAATGTCCAAATGAATACACAGACTTGTTCCCAACAGGAGCCCGGTGAGACTGCCCTCCACTACTCTGTGAGGACTGCTGACCAGACCTCCCTGCATCTAGTGGACTTCCTGGTGCAAAACAGGTATATGTCCCGGCAGAGGGAACTAAATCACAATTTAAAGTTGGAAATTATAACAAACACATTTACTAAATACTTGTTAATGACTTACTAATGATTATCTTAAGTGTTACCATTTTATTCTTTGTATATCTGTCACTAGAATTTGACTATCAGTCTCTCTCACTCTCCACCCCCAGTGGTAATCTAGACAGTCAGACGGAGAATGGAAACACTGCACTACACTACTGCTGTCTGTATGAAAAACAAGAATGTTTGAAACTGCTACTGCGGGGCAAGCCAGCCATCGACATCGGTGTGTGCAAACCCTCGGATTGTCCCCGTCGGACTTGTCATTTCATTGCATCTTTTTCATCTTAGATTTCAAATGACTGAAATATGTGAGGCAAACCAAGGTGTTTTGGTAGAGAGGGAGAGAGAGAGAGAGAGACCTGATTTGTTTGTTCTGGATAGTTCTGAAATGCATTTATATGTCAACTACTAAGTATTTTTTTCTTCAGAAATATTGTATTTCTTACTTTCAGGTATATATCAAATAGTTTAGGAAAAGTAGCTACTGTAATTGTAAAAAGCAGTCAAGTTATTATCTGCCCCTTTAGCACAGTATTTAACAATTCTTCAAATTCCAAATATTTTCACAAAGCATTTTTACAAGTATTTATCCTAGGTCTGGTGTTGTTTTTTAAAACCATAATTTGCCTCATAACATTAAAACATAATTGGACGTATGTTGATGCATGTCATTTCAATTCAATTCATTACAACTTCATTTATCCCCTTGGGGCCATATAAGAAAACCATAGTCAAATTACAAATCATGTCATGAGGCTCCGCACTTACGGTAACCACTGGCTACTTGTTCTTTCAGCCAATCAAAGTGGAGAGACTGCTCTGGACATTGCAAGAAGGTTGCAAGATACCCAGTGCGAGGAAACAGTGAGTATCAGCCTTCTAGGCATCAGTATCTAGAAGGCTGTATTATTTCCAGCAACATTGCAAACTGTTTTGAAACCCCACCTCTTTAAGGAATACCTGGGATAGGATAAAGTAATCCTTCTACCCCCCCTTACCCCACCTCCCCCCAAAAAAAAAAAAAAAAATATATTGTAAAGTGGCTATCCCACTGGCTATAAGGTGAATGCACCAATTTGTAAGTCGCTCTGGATAAGAGCGTCTGCTAAATGACGTAAATGTAAATGTTTTAGAGACTGACAGTCTGGCTCTGGTAGTGCTCCAGTCCTCCCTGTCATAACTAGCAACAGAGGACATGGAAAGCATGCTATGTCCCGTAGAAGTGCGGACAATGTGAGTACCCTCATTTATGTTTCTCTAACTCCCCTGAATACCTCTGTCAACCTGGCAGCTAGTGGTTGAAACGAACCTCCCACAGTATCACCACATCCAATCACATAATACAAGCATCAAGTGGCATACAGTGCTTTCAGAAAGTATTCACACTCCTTGACTTTTTCCACATTTTGTTGTGTTACAGCCTGAATTTAAAATGGATTCAATTGAGATTTGTGTCACTGGTCTACACACAATAACCCCATAATGTCAAGGTGGAAATATGTTTTTCAATTTTTTTAAACAAATTAATAAAAAATGAAATGTCTTAAGTCAATAAGTATTCAACCCCTTTGTTATGGTAAGCCTAAATAAGTTCAGGAGTAAAAATGTGCTTGACAACTCACATAATAAGTTGTATGGACTCACTTTGTATGCAATAATACGAAACCCCTACCTGTCCCAGACCTGCTGTTTTCAACTCTTATGATCGGCTATGAAAAGCCAACTGAGAGACCTAGCCCTAGACCATACGTTGGGACTACCGGCCGTGGTGACTCCTTGCTGTCCCCAGTCCGCCTGGCCTTGCTGCTATTCCAGTTTAAACTGTTCTGCCTGCGGTATGGAACCCTACCTGTCCCAGACTGCTGTTTTCAAACTCTTAATGATCGGCTATGAAAAGCCAACTGAGATTTATTCCTGATTATTATTTGACCATGCTTGTCACTTATGAACATTTGAACATCTTGGCATGGTTCTGTTATAATCTCCACCCGGCAGCCAGAAAGGACTGGCCACCCTCATAGCTGGTTCCTCTCTAGTGTTTAACATGATTTTTGAATGACTACCTCATCTCTGTACCCCACACATACAATTACTGTATCTGTAAGGTCCCTCAGTCGAGCAGTGAATTTCAAACACAGATTCAACCACAAAGACCAGGGAGGTTTTCCAATGACTCGCAAAGAAGGGCACCTATTGGTAAATGGGTAAAATAACAAAAAAGCAGACATTGAATATCTCTTTGAGCATGGTGAAGTTATTAATTACACATTGGATGGTGTATCATTTCACCAATGGTGACTTTTAAACAGTTACAGAGTTTAATAGCTGTGATAGGAGAAAACTGAGGATGGATCAACAACATTGTAGTTACTACACAATACTAACCTAATTGACAGATTGAAAAGAAGGAAACCTGTACAGAATAAAAAATATTCCAAAACATGCATCCTGTTTGCAACAAGGAACTAATGTAATACTCCAAAAAAATGTGGCAACTTTTTGTCCTGAATACAAAGTGTTATTTTTTTTATTTAACCTTTATTTAACCAGACCCATTGAGATTAAAAACCTATTTTGCGAGGGCAACCTGGCAAGAAGGCAAAACAGGGAAATAGCAGCATGTACATAAAATATTACAGAAACATACAAAATACACACAAAAGTGTCACAAGTTACAGATACAATTGAAGATTAGAAACAACTGCAGCTATCACAAACAGTGTTGTCGATCAGAGTCTTAAAGGACACTAACTCCCCTAATTTTAATATCTTTTGAAGCATGTTCCAGGATGAAGGGGCATTATGGGAAAAATATTGTTTCCTCATCTCAGTTCTAGCCTTAGGAACAGACAAGGACAGCAGCGACTGTGAAAGAAGACTGTATTGAGTGACTGATCTGGTTAGTAAGTTATGTTTGGGGCAAATCCAATACAACACATTACTGAGTACCACTCTCCATATTTTCAAGCATAGTGGTAGCTGCATCATGTTATGGGTATGCTTGTAATCGTTAAGGACTGAGGAGTTTTTCAGGATTAAAATGAAACCAAATGGAACTAAGCACAAGCAAAATCCTGGAGGAAAACCTGGTTCAGCCGTGCTTTCCACCAGACACTGGGAGATGAATTCACCTTTCAGCAGGACAAAACCTAAAACACAATGCCAAATCTACACTGGAGTTGCCGAGTTACAGTTTTGACTTTAATCTACTTGGAAATCTATGGCAGGACCTGAACATGGTTGTCTAGCAATAATCAACAACCGATTTGACAGAGCTTGAAGAATTTAGAAAAGAATAATGGGCAAATGTAGCACAATCCAGGTGTGGAATATAGCTATACCAATCCCCCTGACTGGAACAAAAGCAGAGCCAAACAGGTGGAAGCTGGGGTGGTGGTGAGCTTGCAGTAAACAGACAATGCACAGCGAGTAACAGCATAGTTGCAGCATGGGCAGCAATAAACTCCAAGCGCAAAGCTGGATGTGTGTGCAGAACTCAACTTAAATAGGCCACAATGTTAAGCTAGGAAGTCTTAGCTGTTGATGCAAACACTCTGGTTCCCTGGCTTTGCTTAATGTAGAGAAGCATGCTAGTGCTCTCAATTATGGGAATAATCATAGCATACACTTTTTCACACATTGCACACAGCTCTGGTACTGCCTCTTGCCATAATCTATTCTGTCTATGATATGATCATGTAATATTATATTATTAATATTGTCACTCTAACTCAGTCTTTTTCTCTCTCTCTCTCAATTTCAATTTCAATTTAAGGGCTTTATTGGCATGGGAAATGTATGTTAACATTGCCAAAGCAAGTGAAGTAGATAGTAAACAAAAGTGAAATAAACAATAAATATTAACAGTAAACATTACACTCAGAAGTTCCAAAAGAATAAAGACATTTCAGATGTGATATTATGTATATATACAGTGTTGTAACAATGTGCAAATAGTTAAAGTACAAATGGGAAAATAAATAAACATAAATATGGGTTGTATTTACAATGGTGTTTGTTCTTCACTGGTTGCCCTTTTCTTGTGGCAACAGGTCACAAATCTTGCTGCTGTGATGGCACACTGTGGTTTATCACCCAGTAGATAAGGGAGTTTATCAAAATTGGGTTTGTTTTTTTATTCTTTGAGGATCTCTGTAATCTGAGGGAAATATGTGCCTCTAATATGGTCGTACATTTGGCAGGAGGTTAGGAAGTGCAGCTCAGTTTCCACCTCATTTTGTGGGCAGTGTGCACATAGCCTGTCTTCTCTTGAGAGCCAGGTCTGCCTACGGCGGCCTTTCTCAATAGCAAGGCTATGCTCACTGAGTCTGTACATAGTCAAAGCTTTCCTTAAGTTTGGGTCAGTCACAGTGGTCAGGTATTCTGCCACTGTGTACTCTCTGTTAAGAGCCAAATAGCATTCTAGTTTGCTCTGTTTTTATGTTAATTATTTCCAATGTGTCAAGTAATTATCTTTTAGTTTTCTCGTGATTTGGTTGGGTCTAATTGTGTTGTTGTTGTTGTCCTGGGGCTCTGTGGGGTCTGTTTGTGTTTGTGAACAGAGCCCCATGACCAGCTTACTTAGGGGACTCTTCTCCATCTCTCTGTAGGTGATGGCTTTGTTATGGAAGGTTTGGGAATCGCATCCTTTTAAGTGGTTATATAATTTAACGGCTCTTTTCTGGATTTTGATAACTAGCGGGTATCGGCCTAATTCTGCTCTGCATGCATTATTTTGTGTTTTTCGTTGTACACGGAGGATATTTTTGCAGAATTCTGCATGCAGAGTCTCAATTTGGTGTTTGTCCCATTTTGTGAATTCTTGGTTGGTGAGCGGACCCCAGACCTCACAACCATAAAGGGCAATGGGTTCTATAACTGATTCAAGTGTTTTTAGCCAGATCCTAATTGGTATGTCAAATTTTATGTTCCTTTGTGGAAGTTACCTGTGGCGCTGATGTTTAGGCCGAGGAATTTGTATTTGTGGTCCTGGCAACTGGACCTTTTTTGGAACACCATTCTTTTTGTCTTACTGAGATTTACTGTCAGGGCCCAGGTCTGACAGAATCTGTGCAGAAGATCTAGGTGCTGCTGTATGCCCTCCTTGGTTGGTGACAGAAGCACCAGATCATCAGCAAATAGTAGACATTTGACTTCAGATTCTAGTAGGGTGAGGCCAGGTGCTGCAGACTGTTCTAGTGCCCTCGCCAATTCGTTGATATACAATGAGGGAAAAAAGTATTTGATCCCCTGCTGAT